CCAATCAATGTGGCAGCATGAGGACAGCGAAGAAGAGGATGATTTTAAAGAGACTGGTGGTGAGGAAGGAGACATGGAGGAGGAGAGAGAGAGAGGAGATGGAGAGAAAGAGGACCAGGTGGATGAGGAAGAGCTTGACGAGATCTATGAGTTTGCAGCAACGCAAAGGAAGATGGAGACTGCGACAGAGACCGAGGAAGAGGAGGGACATGCAAATTCATCCCTCGAAAATGAAAAGAAAGATGAAGGGATAGAGAAAAATGAGACAGAATCCCTCTTAGAGAAGTCTGCCGGCAGTTGCCATAGTAACAAACAAGGCGTGGATGGGACAGAGGCTGCCATGGTAACAAGTCCAACAGAAACCCTTAAAAAGCCCAGCCCAGAGACTGAGAGAGTTAGTTTGATTCCAGAATTTGATGACGGCACAAATGAAAACAGAGACCCAGATGCCAGTCTAGACAAGAGTTACGACCGCTTATTCTCCCAGTCTATAGGCGAATACATGGAACCGTCTTTGACGCCAGCATCATGCTCTCAGCAAAAACTTTACAAGTCATCACGCACACTACAGCAAAACACACCTGCCCCATTTCGCCCTTCATGTGTCAGTGAGGTGATTGACCTGTCCATAAGCCCTCCGCTAAGCTCAGGTGTGTCAGGTGAAACTTCCTTTCCAATGCCTGGAGTTTCTCCTGTTCCACATAAGGGTGAAGATACAGTAGATAAAGGCAAGTCTCCCCTAAGCAAAGACAACTCAAGCTGCCAGAGAAAAGAACACCCTCCTTCCCCTCCAAAATCACACAGCAAAGAGGTTGAGCTCATTGTACTCTCAGATGGTTCCGGTGAGGATGTGGATGGTGACAATGCAGCTTCTACTAAGTGTGGTTTGCCCCCTCTGTCTCCATTCAAATCTCCCTCAGAACCGTCCACAAGCTATGCTTGCAAAGTTAAACTCACAGAAAACAGTTTCAAAGAATCTGGATCCCAAGGCCATGCCGGAAAACCAGTAAATGCTTCCAAGCAGGTGACGACTGACACAGAAGCCAAGTCTGACCGACCGGAGCACTGTAGTCCTGGGGATGCAAATGAAAGTGTGTTTGATGGCTCTGCTGAGGTTTCCTGGCTGATTCCAGCCACTCCGGTAGCATCCACACGTTGTAGCTCTACCCAGACCTGCGTTACCATGCGCCGAACCCAGCTCTTCCCCAAATCTTGCTCTGCATCATCATCCTCTTCCTCTGTCTCGGACAGTTTGAAACCTACTAGCTTTGCTTCTTTAAGCAGCAACTGCGTTAAAGAGGAGCCGGTTGCCATGTCCAAACTGTTCAAATCAGATCAGACTCGCTCTAAAGAACGTCTTAGCACTGATACGGATAGCTCACCAGGTTACCAGAGACCACTTCTTAGACTGTCTCAGATCCCTTCTACAAGGGCTTCTGATGGATCCCACACTGGCACCATCATGGGACGACAAACCCAGGGTGTCCCACAGCCCTCAAGTAGCACTCCTCTCCATTCAGACTCTTCTTTACAACGTCAGATCCCGTTCGGCTCACCTATGGTTGGTGACTGTGAGGGGAAAGTTGGCCTAGTGTCTCTACAACTGAGTTCTCCTTCCCCTAGTAAAACACCTGAGAAGAAGCAGAGTAGCTGTCTTCAGCATGGGTGCTCCAGTCCATCCCCAAACTCTCTGAGTTACAGTCATCCTGAAGGATTGAGAGAGAGAGAGAACGATGGGATGGAGCAAATGGAAGTGGGAGAAGAGCATCCCAATCAAAGTGTTGAAGAAGTGGTGGAGATTGCGGGGAAATCATTCTGTGACAAGGATGAGTTTGGAAGAAGAGTGGGAGAAGAGCATCCCAATCAAAGTGTTGAAGAAGTGGTGGAGATTGCAGGAAACTCATTCTGTGACATGGATGAGCCTCCTATAGCGTTTGACGACTCCTGGGGCTTGGATGGAGGGGTTGCAAGCCAGAAGCCCCACTTTAGTCTAAGACTTGATAGCAGTGAAGGTACAGTTAGTCCACCAGGTCTCGAGGGTAAGGGACAGACGACGGGTCTACACGCCACGTCTCCTCTTGCATCTGGAGCTTGTAACAAAACTCATGATCCAAGTCCAGGTCCGTTCAATCACAGCCTACCTGACCCTGACATGTGGGATGATTGGGAGGAGGAAGAGAACGCTCCCCTTCCTCTTTCTCAGAGACTGGCAGCTCCCTCTGCCAAGAGAGTTGCTGAACTTAAGACTCCAGGTAAAACATGTTATCCTCTTAACCATGTTAATTATGTTTCCCCGGGGCTCTTATGTTTTCTGACATGGCTGCACAGATCTGGTAATTATGCATTCAGAAAGCTCTGTAAGTCATTTATTTTTGTTTGTTTTAGAAAACCTTCTTAAAATCAATTTTAACTTTCTGCACAGTTGCTTGCAGAGAGAGGAACAAAGGACCGCTGGTACCCATTACTCCAATGCCGGGCTACTCCGATATGGACACACCTGAGCTCAAAAACAAACTCAATAGGTGAGCATAAAAAGAATATTTAGACACTGTCACACTTAAAAATGTATTTATGTCATTGCAATAGTTAGCAAAATATCAAACCAAGTGGAATATGTTATGAACTTTTAGGATTGACTTTTTAACAAGCTGGTCCCAGGATCAGTTTTAGTCAGTTCTCCTCAGGGTGTTTTAATTCATCAGAGTTCATCACAGAAGCTATGGACATGATTTTTTTAATCCAAGTACTTTGTCTTAATTTTGAATAGGGTATGTTTATTGTTTTGTAATGTATAAACAAACACCCTATCTTACGTGCCATTTCTTGATTGACTGTGGTACCCACGTTATGAAACCAAATCAACATTATGTATTCAACTTTCAAATGAGAATCAAATGCAGATGTTGTGCAACTTTACCCTCACATAGCCAAAGCAAAATGCTCAAAAACACAGAGATGCATAATGTTTCTTTGTCTAGGTTTGGTGTGCGTCCGCTGCCCAAGAAACAGATGGTTCTGAAGCTGAAAGAGATCCATCAGTACACCCACCAGCTGCAGAGCTCCGAGTCTGAGGAGGAGACCTCTGGACCCCAACGTCCCCCGAATGCCTGCAACTCCCAGTCTGTGCCGCTCTCCTTTAAGCGACCTACAGCGCCCCCTGCTGTCTCCCCTATGAAACTACCGCCAAGTGAAGAAGATGAGCTTTTATCAGCCTCTCAAAACTCTAACACGTCCTCCACTGCGGAGTCCGAGAGGTACGGCTCCTATACGGCTATATATCAGGGACGGATTATGACGCGGTCGTGTCCTGGGCACATGCCAGTCTAAAGGTGGGGAGTGTGGGCAAAGCCCCCCCCCAGCTTGTATGTGGCACCCCTCTGGTCTAGTGCCCTGGGCACATGCTCGGTAGCTTGTGTGATAATCCATCCTTGCTATAAACAAAATAAATATTAATACAAATGGCGCTTTTCCACTGCATGGTATGGCTTACTTAAATAGTAAGTAGTACCAACAGGTTGAGATTCCAAGCGAGCCGTACCGATACTAAAATGTGACGTGTAAACACTGCAGATCACTGATTGGTCAGAGAGAATCGTCACTACCTGCGTCATTGGATTTGCGACACGAGACACCAAACCTGAACAAACTTCTTTGTCTTACCGTGAAAAAAGTCCACATGCCAAGAATCAAGAACACCATTCCATCGATTTGCTCCTGTGTTGTGCGTTTGTTTGTGTCACATTTACAATGATGTCACGGTAGTAGAGGCGGAACAACTTTAATGATCAGTCTATAATCCCACCCACTTTGAAGCGGTACTAAACTGCAGTGGAAAAGCAAACCAGGCCAATCCGTACCATGCAGTGGAAAAGTGCCTAAAGAAATATTGTTCAACCCTTTTCTTCCATCCAGGTCGAACCCAGAGCTGTGTGTGTCCGGAGACGATGACTCGGACAGCGAGGGCATCACAGCGTCTCAGGCTGTTGTGCGTGAGAAGGACAAACTCCTCGCAGTTCGTCAGTTCATCTTATCTGACCCAGAACTGTACGGACGAGTGCTGCAGTACCAGCCTCTCTCCCTGGCGGAGCTGCGGTCCAGCTTGAAAGCAGCAGGCATCAGGTTAGGTGCTGCTAAGCTACTAGACTTCCTGGACTCCCAGTGCATCACTTTCAGTACGGCCAAACAAGGCCAGAATGCTTCTTCCCGCAGGAAGCGAGGTGGGAAAATAAAACCTAATGGCAGTGCAGCTGGAAGAGGGAGGAAAAAAACAGCTAAGCCCAATGGAGGAGTTGCATGAGGGCTGAAATAAAATAATGTGGTAAAACTACATCATTTTCAGAAGAAATTGTTCAAATAAGATGTTCATCTTTTCCAAAAAAAATAAAGAAAAGTAGCTGATAAACACACACTCATGGTCTTAAGCCTTCCAGTGAAAGGTTTTAAATAATGACTTTTTTTTATCAGCTTCATATTGATTTTTTTTTTGTACAATTTTTGAATTGAAAATATTATTTTTAAATGAATTTAATTTAATGTCTGGATAATGTAATTAAAAATACATTTCTTAATGTGTCTCGTCTTTTTATACAATAATTGGTTCATTTCATTTCAACTGTTATAATTAAATTTCACCCAGCAGTTTTACAGATTCCTTTAACCAAAATGTGCCTCAAACAAACGGGTCAAGATTTCATATGCAGGTCATATTTTAACACATTTTCATGACAAACAAGCACATTTAATTGCACTTACCCAATTGACATTATGTAAAAAAAAAAATTTAACTACATATGTAATTTGTGCAGAAATTATAATTTTCATTATTGTATCAAATAAATAAAATTCCCACTTGTACTAAATCATAAAAAATGCAAACAATACAAATTAAAAGAATAAAAATTATATTAAAATATGACCATAAATATCTTTGCAAAATTCACCCCATGATTTCAGATTGTAACCAACAGTGAAAAAAAAAAAATTCACAGAACCAAACCATCTTGAAAAAAATGTTACTTTACTTTTTTTGTTTTGTTTTATAACATCACTTTTTTTTTGCAAAGATCTGCGGAGAAAAACAGACATCTCACATTCTAACAAAGAAAGACAAGTAGAAGAAAAATGTCTGATCGTCTTCCGTGTGCACGAGAGAGAATCTGGGTCCGGCTGGGCAAACAGTTCCACAAGAAGGGCTGAATTCATACAGCGTGTGAATCTCTCACATTATCACGTGAGCTCCTCAGGAGAGTCAGGCTGCTCTGCCTCAGTCAGGACCATCTCCTCATGCCCCATCATGCACCTGTCATGACAGGTTGACAATGTTGGCCAGGAAGCGCTGGGCCCACCACTCCTCAAGATCAATAGGCACAAAATCTGTCAAAAGAGAGTAAGTTCTTTGAGATTTCACCATATATGAATAAAACACCACACAAAATATACACTTTCTTTCCTTTCATAGTGTGGAAGCAACATGAACATTCTTCGAAATATATCCTTTTGAGTTCCTGACAGGAAGTCATGCAAGTTTGGAATGGGGGTGAGTACATTTTGTATTTTTACTTGAATAATGTGAATGTGTTATATCCTAATGACAGTGAAGGCCTCCACTAGGGGCTGAGCAGAGAGAACAAGCCAGCAAAGAAGAGACTATTTAAAGAAAGAAAGTAAGTAAGTAGGACAGAAGTCATTGACTGACTCTTCATGCCGGGATTGGGGCTTCTCTCCGCGTACTGCACTGGCCCTTTCCCGTTCTCCGGCTGGGATCCCTCTCCAAGCTTCTGCTCCACCTCCTGCCAAGCTGCAATCAAACAAATATTGAAAGTTAAGTATACCGTAAATTATATTATGAATGTGAGGGAGGGGGAGAGTTGTATTTTTTTACTTTATAAAAATTATATATAAATATATATAGTATTCACACATACATCCTTTTTATTTGTTTGTTTACTAAAAGGATTTTAAAATCCAATTTGAAATAGATTTAAATAATTTATTGAAAATAATTGACATGGTTTGCCAGCAAGTTTGTAACAGTTGCTGGTGTGTATATATATATATATATATATATATATATATACACACACACACACACATTTTTCCAGTCATAGAATGCTAAAATATTTAATCGTCTTTATATTGGGCTTTTGTAGTGTAAAACTTGCCAGCAAGCCATATTGATGTCTAATTTAGAAGTCAATTTGATTCTTTTTAATAAAAAAGATTCACAAAATAAACTGAATGATTCATTAATCACTCAGTCTGAATGGCTTTTAAAATCCTTTTTTCAGTAAACAAAGGTACAGGGATGCTGTACATCGCATATTATTTAGGAATACATGTTTCACAGTAGTTCTGAAAACAGTGCCATGTATTCCACCAAAAGAATTTACAGCTAGAAAAACATGCTTTTCTCGTTGGGATCTTGGTAGAAAAATAGGTGGTTACTTTGACCAATTCTGAACACTTCCCAAAACAGGTTGTCTGTTCTATTGACTAAAGCAGTTTTAGAAAGTATAAGGTGTCAGGTGACTAGCCTGTCACAGTACAAAAGACCATAAAGCTGCCCTTGAGGGTCCGTTGCATCAGCCTGTGGAGGTGGAGTCTGGCCTGCAGACAAAAACCCTCCTCCTGAAGATAACAACTGTCTTTCTTCACACAAACTCTGCCGAACTTACCTCGCAAAGTACAATTATAGTGATTCACAATTGTTTTAATGGCTCAACAACACCTAATATGCACCATTTGCAGCCGCAAATTTGTAACAACTTCCAGTTATTGTTGAGCTTTGAATCCAGTTGATCTCTCCTCAGTGTATTAAGGTCTTGGCAAATACTACCCAACCTTGGCCCTCCTCAAGGTCCTAAACATCAAGGTAACCAAAATACTGGTGTTCTGGAAAATTAACTCACCCTCATAAACAAATCGAACATTGTCCTCGTGTGCTGGGGTGAATCCTTCAGTAGTGTTGGCAGCTTTTGGAGAGGTGGATCTGTGGTACCGCTTTCCGTTCAGCCGGTGAAATACAATTTTCGGTGCTGGTGAACTACACAAACAAAGGGAAATTATATTGATTAATATGGGGTTTCAATAACCTTGAATTTTTACATTTGGTCCCAGGGACGTAATTTGTGGGGGGGATGGGGGGGATATAACCCCCCCAATATTTAAATCTATGCATTACCACCCCCCCATTATTTATACCATGATCACAATATCAGGAGGCATACCCAAACTTCAACCCCCCCAATGTTCAAACCAAATCTACGCCCTTGTTTGGTCCCCATTCATAATACATTATATTTAATTGATCTGTTTAACATTCGATTGATTTCTCATGCTTTTCATTTAAATAAAAGAACAGGTTATTAATTTAGAACAGGTTATTAATTTTCATTATGTGGAAAAGAGCGTGTACATTCTTCAACATATTCATACATGTTTGTAACGACTTGAGGGTGAGAAAACGAAGAAAAATTTTGGGGTGAACTGTTCCTTTAAGGCCAAATACTTCCTTACACAAAGTCGTTTCTATAGTGACAGCTAGCTACACGTTATGAAACCCAGTTTCCGATTATATCAGCATTACCCCAGACATAAATTGATCGTTATTGAAATATCAAACACACAAATGACAGACACAAACGCGAATGTGTGTCGTAAAATACGCCGTGACTCTCTTTAGCTCCAGAAAGCAGCACAACGTCCTTGTGGGAATATAAGGGGGGTGTGTGACAAGCATGTGTTTGCATTATAATAACTACAAAAGGTTAGTTATTCAACAGTCTAGAGAAATGATGACAAATAGAATCGCGACAGAATCTTCGAACACGCCGTCATTCCACGCGCGCACGCGCTACTTGCAAGGTCACACGGCGCAAGAAAAAAACAAGAGACTTTGGCAGAGGCGTAAAAAGGACGTCCTGATCTATAATTGAGGCCAGCTTGTTCGTACGGATACGTTTAAGTGTGTTAACCTTATAAACGAGACTGGGACGCTGAGGCCATTTTTAAAGGTGCAGTTAAATCATTTTTAAGTTTCCCATCAGCGACTTAACTCACGTGAAGAGAGCATCGCGAGCTCAGGTAACGTTAGTGCATATAAATGTAATTACTCACTCCGATGCAAGCCAGGGGCTTTGCTTCTGTTTCAGGTCGTTCGCTTTGCTCTCAATCTGTTGCGTAGGGCCTGCAAGAAATAATATCTGTTAATACGTCTCTAAAGTAATGTCAGTAGCTAGATTAAAGGCTGGTTAATTCTTACTATACTAGCGTTAAATTACCGACCATTGACAGCGATTGCGCTTATATTATAGACTGTGCATGCCGTTCTGTACCTGTTCTCCGTTGTGTAACAAGTTTGCTGGGACCTCTGGTTATTGTGTACATCATGTGAGAGACGGTTTCTGAAGGACCCCTGCGGCACGATAGATCCACGCGAGCTCTACGGATCGGTCAGTGCGAATGTCACGATTATATGCACACCAGGAAAAGTCACGCGATCCCCCTTCAGGACGGAGCTCTGTTGACGCAGCCACCTTGGAAATAAGCAGCGTCGATCCGGTTCGCAAATCTGTCGTTCAGTCGCTTGCAGCCAACGGGACTTAAGCGCCGTGTATTTACTCACACTCACAGCAGCAGCCGTAAGGTCAATGAAGGTTAAGCGCGTTTATCACCCTAATTACGCGTCGGGTTAATTCGCGGAGTGTCCTGTGTGCGATGTGTCGCTGCGGAGAAACTTTCTGAGTTCTGGTTCAGTCTGGACTCTGCTGTAAAATTCGGACGTTCAGATTGCAACCTTCCCCCGTGACGTCAAGGCACGCCCCCCGCGACGCGACGTACAACAGGGGTCACCTTTCACCTACTCACCTTGTGGACATCAAACGGGCTCTATATGTACAGTCTAAACACGGGTTTCATCATGCCGACAAACGTCCAACTGATAAACGCTCATAAAGACTGCTTGATAATGATAACTTAAGGCTGCGCACATGTGCGCTGCAACGAGGGGCTTCACACACCACGTGGGAAACATGCAAGCTGCTGACTCGTCTTGTGTAAAATCTAAACATTAGTTTCTTCATGCCTTCAAACATTGATTAATGTACAATATAACGAGCGCGTAATAGTAAAGACAGCGGTTTGCGCAAATGTGTGCAGCTACGAGGCGCTTCACGCACCATGTGGGAGCCGGACGGGCTTTACTTGATACACATTAACAGTCCTGAACCAAAACCATAACGTTAATCTCACTGAAGTTACACCTTTCACTCATTAAACATGATTGAATAAAAGAGAGGAAAACCGTCTGATGCAATTGTTACACAACAACTGTTGTACAACAGTCCTTGAAAAGCAACGTCTGTGACAAAATGACTCTTAATTAAGAATGTATTAATTTTATTGTATTATAATCACCAGAGAAAACAGAGAAACGTGCCACTTTCAAGTAATCCTGAATTAGCATTTATGTGTCCAACATTAGGTTGACATTTGGTAGCTGCCAGAGAACTGACCTCAGATTTAAGACCATTGTTATTGCTTATAATAAATTTATTAACCCCCATATGGAAGAAATAAGTATAGACATGTTGTTTTAAATGTAACCTGTTCATTAGCTATTAATACCAAACTTCCAAACAATGAACAAACCTAAATAGCAAGGCATACACAACTAATGTCATGACTGAGAGCGAAGCCATACATTAAACTCAGCTATTTTTCCCCAATGCTGTTTCCACACGAATAAAAGCCTTCTTCGATAAATAATGGCATTAAAATGGGAACTGTATCAAATTAACAATGTAATAATATCTATATAGTCATAACTTGGCTCACCTGAGTGGGTGTGTACAGTACAATCGAACACTAATACTTACATCTCCCATATTAAAAATTTTACACAATGAAAGCACTTTGTTACCCTGTAAATGTAATAGCATGCTGCCTAAATCAAAGCAATTCAATACAGACACATATTGTAGTATTTTGAGTAAAGAACCACAGAGGTTAGTTGCTCGAAGTATAAAAGGCCTAATGATTGTACAAGTGGCGTTTCAGTAGTGCGGTTCACAGTCTTCTACGAGACTGTCGGTGATGTAGTTGATCTTCAGTAGTTGCTGGTAGTACTGCTGCTCCACGGCCGTGTTCACCGTCCAGCTCACCACCTCCACACCTCGGGCCGCCCAGTATTGCACATAGTCCCTGATGAAACACACAACAGTGACCGTCTCGAAGCGCAACACACACTCCCACGCTGTAGAGGGCGCTGATGTTTAAATACACTTCGAATGTTCCTACGCAGATTCATTTTCAGATTTACTCCCATGTTCTTGACAGTTTTTGGGGGGTTAAATGCCTGAAAGAAGGGCGGTGGTGAAGATATTTTCTCATTTATTCTCGTCGAACAGGTAAACTCATCTACTCGCTAGTCGCTTTCACAGCCTCGTTGTGTTTAAAATTGCGCTCTATAGAACTATATCTTTTATAGTTATCTTTGGTGTGAAACGGGCCTTTAGTGTGTTTCTAGGGGACGTCACATGTCTCTTTGATATTTCAATTACTATATATGGCTTAGGTCCCTCCTTCAGAAAAGTGTATGGATTTTTTCATTTTATTTTTTGCCAGGTGAAAATTCTATATTTGATTATTTTGAATAGGAGTTGTAGTCCCCAAAACACGAAAGGTGAAATGTTGAAAAAAGTATAATGTAAATGAATAGCCAAGCAGTCGTCCATATGTCTCCCTAACCATAGGTATAAGCAATAATATGATCCCTGACAGCACCAACAACCACTGAAGGTCCCAGCAGTAGCATTCAAGAGACGACTAAAAGAATAAAAGTGTTAGGGTTGTTTAGCAGTGGTCAAAAATAATGGTCAGTGCTTTAGTCTGTATTGAAACAACCACACAGTGGTCATTTCAGTGGTCACATGGTTGCTTTACAGTGACTGATATGCGCAATTTATTTTAGGACCTGTGGTAGATGTGTTAAAGATCTTACGGTAATGTAATGCACATAATAACATGGCTTCACAATAACTATGTAAAAATGGCAATGAAACGAGCAGTTTTGGAAGTGAGATAATGACTCACGGCGAGATGAAGTTCTTCTGCACCAGGAAGGCAGAGACTCCGCACAGTTTCCACAGGAGGTGATGATGGGCCCAGTCCAGGAGCACGTCCAACACACACATCCAGTGCTGTTTCCACGCGGACGAGAACCGCGGCGTCCCGTCGCCCAAACGACTCAGACTCCACGGCCGATGGGTCAGTGCGGTCACCACATTGGGATCCGCCTGCCGCATCTGGAAAGGAGGTGAGCAGCCGATACAGTTCAGTATTAGTGTATTACTGTCCAGTTTACACTGCCGTTCAAAAGTTTGAGATCTGTGAGATTTTTTATGTTTTTAAAAGAAGTCTCTTCTGCTCACCAAGGCCGCATTTATTTGATAAAAAAAAACAACAACAAAAAAACCGTAATTACTGTTGTTTTTTTTGTTTGTTTTTTAAAGGGTAACTAAACACTAAACCAACTTTTTTTAATTAGTGATCTGTAAGACTGGGGCTTTATTAGTGCTGGTCATTGATTCGAGTAACTTTTTTGACATTTAGGTATAAAGTGTTTTAATTCTACAATATATGGTGTAAAAACGTCTGAGTGCTGCCCTCTTCAGGTTGAACGGGGCTACTGCACTTGAATTTTCCTATTGGATGTTTGCGGTAGTTCGTGACGGTAGCGGTGAGAGCTGACGTATGCAGGTTTCAGCTTACCACGCCCCCTTGGTACGAGCTACCACGCCCATGGCAGAATATAAAAACCATCTTGTTTCGTGAAAACCACTGTAGCGAGTCAGGAGTTGGAATTGCGAGTATTGAAAACGATTAGGATAGAGTATCCGTTCATCCCCTCTATCTCCGCTGGGCTCCGCCCACTTCTCCAGCATTTTTCAAATATTGCCAGTGGGTGGAGTCAGGCTCTGACCAGGGGTTTAGTTACCCTTTAAATCAAATAAATGCAGCCTTGGTGAGCAGAAGAGACTTCTTTTAAAAACATAAAAAATCTTACCTATTCCAAACTTTTGAACGGCAGTGTACCTCAGTCCAAAAATGACCCAAGATAAACTCAAGTGCCATCAGATGCAAATAAACTGAATTATATTACCCTATAGATGACTTTGGGCTCAAACGAGCAGACGATACTAGTGTTGTAGAGCACTGGATACTTCCGAAATAATTCTTTTAGTGCTGCAGCAGCCTATGGACAACAGATAACACACATAAAAGCACAACCATTCTGGAATCATTAAATCAATAAGCGATTGCTAAATAAGAGTGGTCCCACCAATAATGGACTCACAGAGCAATGCAAGTTGCGACAGTACCTCATCTGGATGACCTTTGACATCGAAGTAAACGGTCAACTGGTGCTTGATGCATTCCTCTACAGCCTCCTGCAGCGTCGGGACCTTCTCACCTCGGAAACGCTCACTACGCAATCAACACAAACGTACCACCTGCTGTCTTCAACTTGCACTTGCTTATTCATACTCTATGTTTGAAAACAAGTCGTTCTTCCCATCTAACCTGAATCTGTGTTTGGCGGCTGCATCTAGTTTGCGCAGTTCAGAGAAGAGCAGCTTGTTCAGTGGTCCCGACCCGTTGGTGGTCCGGTCCACAGTGTCGTCGTGCATCAGTATGGGAACCCCATCCGCCGTGAACTCCAGGTCCAGCTCTACACCCGTGGCTCCATTCTCACTTGCCTTTCAGTTAGAAATCAGAGTCATTGAAAGAGGAATAAGCCACTGCTTAGATCTGTAGATTGAGAAAACCACAGTTAACGCAATGCTTTCACAATGTGTAATACAAGGAAGGTGATTTTGAGGTTGAGGAGCATGTGATGCTTATCACTTGTGCATGTATTATGTACTCTAAACAATCACATGAAAGCAGACATTTATATAATAGTCAAAACGCAGTAAAAGAATATACAACAAATACTAACAGTTGGTTAACCAATGAAAGAAGTAGTGTATGTAAAGCTCTTTGGCAATGTTTTACATATTGTTTCCCATCTAAATCCAGTGCCGACTAATTTTGTAGCTGGTTGTATGTGAGAGATATGAAATCATCCATCCAGTCTTTATACCACTCGTCCACCCTGTTATTATTTTGTCCACCCTATTGTTATTTTGTCCACCCTGTTATTATTTTGTCCACCCTATTGTTATTTTGTCCACCCTGTTATTATTTTGTCCACCCTATTGTTATTTTGTACACCCTGTTATTATTTTGTCCACCCTATTGTTATTTTGTACACCCTGTTATCACGTTGTCCAACCTGTTCAGCTTTCTTTCTTTTCTTTTTCTTTTTTTTTACAATAATTTCATAAAATCAGCAAAAAACATACTAATAATTCAGTGAAAATGAACATTTTCTGAATAATCAATAATGCAGTATTTTAAAAAGTAAACAAAATCACATTTTTGGCATTTGTATGCATCTGAAAATGTCAAATTATGCGTTTGTATGAAAGTAAGTACTATTCATTCGCATTATTTATATTATTTTCTGATCATTTATTAACTGAAATGCTTTTAAAGGGACAAAGGTACACGAGTTGTCTAAGATAATGTACACAGTGACCATAAACTAGAATCATAAGTATTTGAAACTGATGTTTTCATTTTTGATCTTCCATTTCATTTATTTTGTTTAACCCCTTAAGTGTCACGGGCCCACCGGTGGGCCCAAATTCTTTACATTTTTAAAACAGTAATATCCTATACTAAACCTAAACTAATCTTGACAAACTATATATCATTTGAAAGCTTACAATCTCTAGTTTCCATATTTGGTGATTGATTTTCAAAATAAATTACAGAGGAGCCGTAATTGATCAATTTGCAACAATAATATTTTCATACTCTTAGACCTTTATTTTGAAATAGTGATGAACATGAAAAATCATGAAAGAAGGGTAGAAACCTCAGTTTGTTTTTATTCTAAGAGTTCAAAAGATAGCATCCATTCAATTATAAAAAAAAAAAAGGTCTGAATTTTTTTTATATATAAAGAAAAAAATTATATGATGTGGCAGGAAGCTAAAACGCACATGCGTGTTCTTTTTATGTTTCTTAGAGGTTGAAATCATATCAAAATCTGCCAAACTTCTCATATTACTTCTGAATAGGATGTCTACTTCATAAATTGTATGAAAATTGTGGAAATAATGGTTCATATCACTCAAAACACATATGGAAATGGAGGCGCCCTTATATGGGCAGTGATGGAGTCTGGTTGTCATCTAGTGAAAAAGTTTGGTACTGCGCCCAAACAAAATCTTACTGAAAGCTCATTTTTTGAGATATCAACCTAAAATTTGAAACACAACTTGTTCAGATTTTTGGCTTTGATTTTTTTGCAGTTTTAGAGTCGCCCAGGTTTTGAAAATATATATTTTATATAAAATATGAATAATTAAAAATTTTACATTGTACATTTTCATAAACACAAACTTCTATAACTTTTTTTCTGTTTCACTTTCTTAATTTATTTCACTTCTACAAGAATCTGCCAAATGTCTTCTTTAAAACAAGACCAATCTTACGTCGATATTCCAAAGCATTCTTGAATTACAACCATTTAAGTTCGAAATGTGCATTTTCATGTATATTCAAAAAAAGGGGGGTGACACTTAAAGGGTTAATAAATGGTTACATTTATTTACCCGAGCTTGACCAAAATCGTTTTTTCTAATGTTTTACAACACCCTATATCAATGACTTAACAAGTTTGATTTTCTACATTATGATGGCCAAAAGGCACCGAATACAAGGAATGGCCCATATAATGTATGTAAATTATATATTTCATATATATATTATATTGTAATTGCATGTCTTCTCTGCATTTCTCTGTTTCCTAATATACTGTAGCTTTCTAACAAATGTGACTGTCTACTGTGAATATTGTTTGCTTGCTCAGCTCGTCAAAGTTACTTTTGATAAAAGCGTCTGCTAAATGTAAATCTAGTGTTCATCTAAATCTATATTATTTGCACTGCAATACTCATGGGTTCATCACCGTCGGGAAAGGACATGGTCAGGTCTTCTGTCAATGAACCTCTTTGATTGATTCGTTAAAAATCATTTATTTGAATCGATTCAATACAAGATCCGAATCAAAAGAATAATTCGTTCACGTTTTCAGTGTGTTTTCTTACATAACGTTACCTGTAAAATATCACTTTGGCCTTTAAAAATAAGCATACAGTGGCTTTAAATTAATACTGACACGCGAGAAAAAAATCATTATATTCGCATTAAACCGAAATCAATCAGTATGTTGTTCCCACCGTCCGTATGGCAGCGATGGTGTTCTCGGGAGCGTCGTGTCCTCCGCCGCGGTGCGCCACTGCTGACACGCCGCTCGGCGACGCTCTAGTCCCGGGCCGCAGCACCTGTCTGGCCCGGCTGGAGGGCACCTGCGGGAACCGAAACATCACCAGAAACAGGTACAGAGAGGCCGTGAGCACCGTGGGCCAGACAGCGCTTCTGGTTCCCAGCAGAACCACGACGAAGACCACAGAGAAGAGTGTGAGCCCGTCTCCTAACTGAAGCATGATGAGGAAACGAACCTAAACCCAAACCAAGCGCTGTTTCTGCAACTAAATCAATAAGTAACGTTATAGGATACTGCTGGATCGTCGCTTTCAGATGAAATCCACATTGCGAGTGTCATCAAAATGCTGACACAGGAGTGTTCAGTTTGAGTCATTCATCGCCACACACACCTGCCTGTCAGAAACCTGCTAACGAACTGTCATATGATGTATTGATGACATCACGAATAACGTTCGAAATTGCTCGCTTGACCCCACTGACTCCTGACCTCATCACGATAAAGAGCGTCATCTGATATTAAAGGCATCCTGAAAGATGCCTTTAATCTGCGTGTCGATAACCTGCTTTACCAACAAAGAGCGCAATATCTTTAAAATACTATCTATGCAATGCCGTGGTCGAAACGTTCTACAATAGAACAGGATAACTTGACTAAGACATAAAAGTCCCTGTGCGTAAATGATTTTTGGTTGATAAGGATAAATTCAGCAAAAACATAATGTGACAAAACATCAAAACAACGGTTTATGTTATTATCTTTTTCATTTGTGTGTATATATATGTTTATATACAAATATTTTATTGCGATAAAACCTTAAAGACTTTTATTTTGAAGTGCATGTTCAGCACTGCGAACTGAACTGATGTGGAGAATATTATTTTGACCATTTGTTTGGTGTATTTCTCTGTCATTATTATTGTGCCTATAATACGGTAGAAAATGTCCTCCAAACCTTCACACAAGGATTGCCCTTGACATACTTGACTTGACTAAAACATAAACGTCCTTGTACGTAAAGGATTTTGGTTGATATGAGGGGGAGGGGGAAGCGCAAAAATGTAAACGTGTCAAAACAATAAGACAACATTTTATGATTTGCTTTATTTTGTATTTTACAATTGAAAACAGTTTTATTTGACAAGTTAATATAAAATTATTGTATAGCAATACAACTCAAAGACCTTTATTTTGAAGTTTCACTGACTTTCTATTATGTCCAGCTTCACAGAAGCACAGCGCAATGCACTAAACTTGAGTAGATGGTAAGTCATTTCAAAACAGCACAAATTGTCACTATTAATACATTTTATTGAATTATTGTGGCCTTTTTCGCTTTATTTCCTTTGTCATTATCACATATTAGCAGCCTAATGGCATTAGGTTTGTCCTTGACATTGTCTTTAATTTCATCAATAGAATAAACGTGTTAAAAGTATTTTTAACCAAGTGAGCTAAATTACCAAAGTAAATTTTAGCCGTTGTACTAATTATAACACCTGTTGCCATGGTTACTGCCTCCTCAGATGATGACATCACGCTTAATTTCCCGCCTTCCTCTATATGGGTGCCGGTGTCATCATGCAGGACTCATTTCACAAGCTCAGGTGCTCTACAGCAGTGACCCGACACGCGCCGGTCGACGGATGCCCGTTACGTTCTCACGCACCCTGCAGATTCAACCTGTGTCATTCTGCTCTGACCTTGCCTCAAGAGAATTCAATCTAATGTATGCTTTCCCGGCTATCAAAGGCCTGCGAGCTCTTTCGAGACTCAAACTGATGCAGACGGGCATCACTGTGGTCTTGCTGCCCGCTGTGTATTACCTGTACCTGCAGGGACAGGCCTCAGGGATGCTGGTGAGTTACACCACAGGCATATCAGTGTTTGCTGGCTTCATGCTGTACTCTATAAGCCACTATGTCAGAAGAGTGGTGGGCATGATGTATCTAGATTCAACGCAGACCGTCCTAAAGGTGTCGCACCTGACCTTCTGGGGTCACAGGCGGGACGTGTACGTGCCCGTGTCTGATGTCATGACGCTGGGAGATTCAGGGGACACCAAAGGAGAGCCGATCCTTTGTTTAAAGCGCTACAGCAGTTCTGACACTATGTACTTTTCCACCAGACTGGGGCGAGTGGTGGACAGGAATGCATTCGAGAAGGTTTTCGGGAGTTTGTCATGAATTTACTGTTTTGTTTAATGTCATAGACCACTGGATATTGTTTTCTCATTGAAAAAGTGACAAATAAAGATGTTGTGTTAAAGTATATTTTGATTTTATTTCACACAATTGATGAAAAATGATGTTATATATTTGGCAACAGTTCTTCTAACCCTAACTGATGGAGTGTGTAGCTTTTCATTTCTTAAACAACCATGTAGGAAGAAACATCATGGCCATATTCCAGGATGAGTGTCAAGATTCATCAGGCTCAAGTTGTGAAAGAATGGTTGGGAGGAGCATGAAGAATCACTCTCACACATGAATTTGCACCTCCGACTTTTGAAGAATGTTGGTAATCGAACAGTTGACGGTATTATTAGGAAAAAATACTATGGAAGTCAATGGCTACCATCAACTGGCTGGCTAACAACATTCTTCAAAATATCTTATTTTGTGTTCAACAGAAGAAAGAAACTCACACAGGTTTGAAACAACTTAAGGGTGAGTAAATAATGACACAATTTTCATTTTTGGGTGAACTATCCCTTTAAGATCACAAAATCCTTAAGGTGCTGCTAAATAAATTGCTATATATATATACAGTAGTTGAATATACTTAAATGTAACTATATACATATAGGCTTACTTAAAATAAAGTATACTGTTGAATGAAATACTTCTTGAAACGCAATACTAGCCATTAGATACATTTGGAAACTATGATGTCTGTTCATATGATTCAGTTTCTATAACCCATACAGATGTTTACAGTGTTAGAGAGCGAAAGACAGAGTGACGCAACAACAAGGCAGTTGAATGAAATTACATTTAACCCCTTAAGTGTCACGGGCCCACCGGTGGGCCCAAATCCTTTACATTTTTAAAACAGTAATATCCTATACTAAACCTAAACTAATCTTGACAAACTATATATCATTTGAAAGCTTACAATCTCTAGTTTCCATATTTGGTGATTGATTTTCAAAATAAATTACAGAGGAGCCGTAATTTATCAATTTGCAACAATAATATTTTCATACTCTTAGACCTTTATTTTGAAATAGTGATGAACATGAAAAATCATGAAAGAAGGGTAGAAACCTCAGTTTGTTTTCATTCCAAGAGTTCAAAAGATAGCATCCATTCAATTATTTTTAAAAAAAAAAGGTCTGAATTTTTTTTTTTATATAAAGAAAAAAATTATATGATGTGGCAGGAAGCTAAAACGCACATGCGTGTTCTTTTTATGTTTCTTAGAGGTTGAAATCATATCAAAATCTGCCAAACTTCTCATATTACTTCTGAATAGGATGTCTACTTCATAAATTGTATGAAAATTGTGGAAATAATGGTTCATATCACTCAAAACACATATGGAAATGGAGGCGCCCTTATATGGGCAGTGATAGAGTCTGGTTGTCATCTAGTGAAAAAGTTTGGTACTGCGCCCAAACAAAATCATACTGAAAGCTCATTTTTTGAGATATCAACCTAAAATTTGAAACACAACTTGTTCAGATTTTTGGCTTTGATTTTTTTGCAGTTTTAGAGTCGCCCAGGTTTTGAAAATATATATTTTATATAAAATATGAATAATTAAAAATTTTACATTGTACATTTTCATAAACTCAAACTTCTATAACTTTTTTTCTGTTTCACTTTCTTAATTTATTTCACTTCTACAAGAATCTGCCAAATGTCTTCTTTAAAACAAGACCAATCTTACGTCTATATTCCAAAGCATTCTTGAATTACAACCATTTAAGTTCGAAATGTGCATTTTCATGTATATTCAAAAAAAGGGGGGTGACACTTAAAGGGTTAATTGCACTTTCTATTGGTGTCTCACTTCTCGTTTCTGAGTTGATGTAGTTACTGTGATTAGCATTGTGGGAAACTATAACATTCATGTTTGGGTTTTTCTGAGGAGGGCATTGGGAAGTGTTATAATATCATCCAGCCACAAATAACAATAATACATTATCATCACTATCCTCCTAAGGAGACAGTACATGTTCTTCTAGTATCTGTGTACAAATCTATATTGGTGAGACTATAGATTAAAGTACAAGAATGTTCATGTGTTTTTTTTGTACTTGACATTAATTTACATGGTTCAGGGATAAGAATACTAAACTACTCTAATTTGTGGAAGATAAATATATGAATATTATAGTGAGGTTTGAGACATAGTAAAGACACACACTCCCTATTATCTCCTTTTTGGGAAAACATGGACTTAGAAATAAGGCCAGACAGCATTCTTATGATTCATTCACTGCACAGTGATGTATATATTTTCAATGAACATGTATATTACAATGTGCAACAGAAAAGATAAAGTTCTGACATAAATTGTTTCATTTTAAGCAACTCCAATGTCTTTACTTCATGCATGCCCTTAAAAGTGTGCTTACACTCTTGACTGAGAGTGAAAACAGGATAAAGAACATTATTTCCCCTCTCTCAGGTTTGACTACAAACTTGCATTGTATTTAATACACACATGTTGTATAGATTGAGGGTTAACATTTATATGATCAGCAGCATTAACATTTTCCCAGCAGGACCCTGTGAGTTTAAGATTTTCACTTTGAAGCCCAGCCATTTCCTATTTTCATCTCTGATTGGTTGACTCGGGTAAAGGTGATCACATGAGGTACCAGGCAGCCAATCCGGCAACAGCAGCGACCCATGTGGCCAAAATCACCTGCACTGTGGATTGTCGAAGCAGCATCCTAGCAAACTGACATGCGTAGGTTGTGTTTCCACTCACCGCTAGACAGACAAGAAGAAAAGCAGTATAGTAAAAATATATTTTTAAAAAAAAATGAAATGTTGTCGCTAACAACTTCCTCACCCATTTTGGCTGCATAGTAGGGACATTTACTGATGTCTCCACCCATATCCCCATGTGCAGGGAAGCCGACGTCCTGCACTTCCTCCTTAATGTCTTTCCCAATCTCCTGCAACTCTGAGAATACCTGACGGAAAAGCAAAGAACATGGAGTGAGGTACAAAAATGACTATTATATTGATGTATTCGCACATCACATAACCTAAAAGACTTGGTCTTTGATAATCCTCTTACGTCCAAATTAAATTTAAAAGCCAGGTTGGCTTCGTCTAGCAGCTTCTCTTTGGTCTCAGCATCCACTTCCAGCTCGTTCATCCGACTGCGGTACAGCCTCTTGAAGGCCGTGGCGTTGTTGATGCCCTCGAAATGGTAGAAGTTCAACCCCTCACCAGTAGGGGGCAGTTTGAGGGCCCGCTGAGCCACTTTCTTTAGAATCTGCCCTCCTGATAGGTCGCCCATGTAGCGGGTCCAAGCGTGCGCAACCAAAAGAACCGGGTCGTTGCGACCCACCTCGTGAATGCGGTCTACGTAGGGCCTGGTGGCCGCCGAGCAGGAGATCTTGCTCTCCCAGTCTTCACCGTAGAAATACTCCAGGTCTTTGGCCAAGGCGTCTCGCCGATGAAGCTCAGAGGGTAAATATAGTGGGGCAAACATGGGATGGTCCTTATTCTTCTCGATCTCTTCCTCAATGGCAGAATAAACATAGTACAGGCCAGTTGTGCCAAGCTGGGGTTGATAAGATGACAAAATCGCACAAGCGTGAAGGTCAGAACATCATAAGCTGTTTTTATCAAACCCTACAAGAGTCTATCAGACTCACCTTAAAAAGTTCTCGTTTGATTCGGCCCCTCAGGAAGTCCTTGACAAATGGCGAGTTCTCGGCTCTGTCGTGAGATTCCTTGGTTCCAGCCGCCAACACTTCTGACAGGTCATCAGGACTAAAACAACAGATTTATAAAGATAAAAATCTGTTATGCTCTGTACCGCCACCTATTGGCTTGGATGTAAAATCATGCAATAGCCAGTTTGAGTTTTGAATGGCACTACTTATGAATAACTTCCGATACTGATTAATCGATCTGATAAAATGAGGGTAAATTACTGAGATGAATTGTATAGTTTTGGTAGGTCATGTGACACCAACATTGTTGCCACATCAAGGGGCTTTCTACGGAAGCTTGTTTCCGCCACAGAATAAAAAAAAAATAAAAAAAAATTGTGATTTTTTAAAATCTTACAATTCTGACTTTTGTCAGATTTGCGAGATATAAACACACACTTTTGACTTTTTATTTTTTTTATTTTTCAGAATTATGAGATATACAGCAAAGTCGCAATTGCAAGATATAACACCCAATTCTGACTTTGTTTCTAGCATTTATTTATTGGTTTCTATAGGAAACAAGCTTCCATAGGTTTCATAATGCGTTCTATATCAAATATTACAGTTTTTTTTTAAAGTAGGCAGTATATACACTGTAAAAAAGATAAAGTACAAACAACTTGGATGTTTAAGTCATTTCAACTTAAATTACAGTAAACTGACTGAAATGGGTTAAATCTTGATAACTTATAAATTCTTCAATACAGTATATACTTTAGTATAAACATGCATAGTATAACACAATCATGTTTGATATTTAAACAAGCCTGTCAAGTTTGGACAAAGCCAATATGAAAGCTTTCATGAGTGTCAGCATTTTTATCAAAAGAAGGCCAACTATTTATTTCAACTATTTATATATATATAACTTTTTTAAAAAGGAGAAATGTAATGCACCCTCAAAACAAGTACATTCAAGATCAATTTGATGTGCTTTCTAGATAGCTTCTTAAGATACATTTCTTAATAGCACTGTAAGGGAAAAGAGTACCTGAGAATATCATCATTGCTTTCAGTGAGGATGTTCTCTGCTGAATCTGCGGCCATCGTGAACTTGTGCCAGTTATTTATGTCTGCTTGATAAACAAATAAGATGAGCTGTGGCGTTTAAAAGCAAACATGTTTAGATACTCTTCTGTCAATTGTGATAAAGCACATAATCAACACTGTCTAGTGTTAGTCTTCATTGCGCAATATCCATTGTGACATTATTAGTCATGCGCGTGACATTGACTTGTGTAAGACAGTCGGCAAGTAAGTTTATCCATCTACATGACTGTTATTACATTAATTTTGATGCAGTTGAAATTAGATTACGCTTTTTTGAGCTATGTAAAACAAGACGGCTGTTATTTTACCGGATAATGCTGTGTTTACAGTCTGCTGCAGTTCACATCATATTGAATGCGTGTTTACAAAACTAATCCCGCCTCAAACAGGAAGCAGAATGACGTCTGAATTCGCTCACTCGTTTTCGTTCACTTATTACCTTAATAGTGTCATCGGAAAGAGTGCATGAGTGAACGTGTGAGCAATATGACACAGTACTTTGTTTATATAAGTCTCTTTATTCGATCTATTTGTTTCACTTTGTCTTTTTTACTGAACGATGACAAAAGGTTGTTGTGGGAGACAACTAACCTGTAAATTGCTACTAACCTGTAAATTGTAAAAAAAAATTTTTTTGTCTATATCAAAAACATTTCAGTAGGCTACAATATGAGCCTGCCCTGAATAGACAATTTTTTTTTAAGAAAAAATAAATTATAGGTTGAATGCAACGTCTTTGGGATACAACGTCGGCTAAATGACAAATTAAATGATTATATTGTTGTATCAGGAATCTGACAATGTCAATATAATATAATATAATATAATATAATATAATATAATATAATATAATATAATATAATATAATATAATATAATATAATATAATATAATATAATATAATATAATATAATATATAAAGTTGTATTTTGACCTATATTTAATTCCAGGCGCAATTTCAACCTTCACCAGTAGATGTCAGTAGAAACTAGATAATCTCTCTAATCACGCGGCGGACCGGACCTTTTTTTACAGTCTATGGACCGGACGGTACGGGTGAAAAAACAATCGCCTAGCTGTATCCCACCGTAGACTTACTTAGGACCACACACGTATTTTGGCATTAAAACGCTACTGAAACTTGGTAGTGGGGTTATTTTTGATTCAGGGTGGTAAGCAACTGTCCAAGCATATTTTTTTAGGCCAACTCCAACGTCATGACGGTGAGTTTTGTCCTAGCAAGCAGCATTAACAGGTTCAGAAAACGCACTGTCTATTTGTTTACCTATTGGCTTTGAGGCAGGAATACCATTGACCGCAAAGCAATACGTACTGTACTGTTAAAAACTTATCAGAACTCACAAATGCCCATGGCGTAAGCCAGTGGTTCCCAAACTTTTTGAAATCATGGCACCCCTTTGTTCCCCCATGGCACCCCAACCCAATTAAACTAAACGTAGCCTACATGTGTAGCCTAGATACACGTTTAATATTAATATGAAAATAGCATATAATAAATAAGTATATATATATATATTTTGTGTGTGTGTCATTTAATCACTTTTTACACCCACTCTAGCTGAGCAGTGTGGGACATCCAATCAAAGGAAATGGTATAAAATGAGAAAAACACATTTCAAAAGATATATCATTGAACTTCTATGTGTGTAAAACTGTAAATGTTTGTTGATTTGTCATAAAACCTCAGAATTTCATTATTTTGCATTATGTTCATGATGACTGGGAGATTCTGATGAGAACACCAAAGGCACTTTATAGTGATTTTGACCCATACAATTAAATCTAGATAAGCACACAACAAATGAAGCATAAACAGCAGGATGGATTTATTATGAATGCATCTCTACAGAGATAGGCCTAACACCGTGTCCTAACCAGACGCCACGACACGACACGCGATAGGTAATAGGTAGGCCTATATTTTCCATGTTAATCAGATTTTTTGTCCTAACCAGCCGCGACGGCGACACGCAATGATTGTATTTTAGAAACGCTTTCTATTTTTCTGCGACATCACGGCTGGAACAGAAAGTATGATAATCTCAGGTAGCCTGTTTGTGTGCTTTATTTAATGTTAAAAGCGTGCGAGTTTGAATATGCCGTAGGCCCACTGAAAGCAACAATTCACCTCAGATCTTCAAGAAATAAAAGTGAACTAGAACGTTCAAACTGTCAACTCATTGTTAACTAACAAGTGTATTTTATGACAACGATTGTTTCAGATAAATTTGAACCAATTACTTTATGTGGGAATCATTGGAACAAAACACATTTAAAGGTACAATATGTAGGATTTTTGTAGTAAAATATCCAAAAACCACTAGGCCAATGTTATATATTTTGTTTAGTTGATTACTTACAATATCCCCAATGTTTCCAACTATTTGTAAATCGTGAGAAAATTGCGATTTTAACCAAGGAAACGGGACGTGTCAGCATGGGTGAGTCGCCGTCATATCCGCATTACCCTCGGTGCTCGTACTGCCATAGTAACCATGGCGACAGACGTGGACAACTGGGTTATGCCAGAGAATGTCTAATATGGGTTATGCTTAGCAGGACGCTCACGCTGTTGTTGTTTTGTTCAAACATTTTGGACCATGGCAAGCAGACTTTGAGACAAAAAGAGGACTAAAACGAAGATCAACATCTTTCGAGATGCCGAGAGCTCCACGTCCGCGACTAACTTCGACTTGACAGAGACGCGAATGTACATAAAACTAATCAATGTTATTTAGTTCAACATGATGAAATGTTAGAATATGCTCTGTATGTTATAATAATGTTGATCTAGCTTACTGCTAGTCTCATACAGCCAACAAACAACCTAACTAACAACATTCAACACACTCAAATGTGTCAGGTCACGTCCCGTTTCCTTGGTTAAAATCGCTATTTTCTCACGATTTAGTGTGATAGTGTCACTGTTAGAGCAAGTGAAACAGCGCTGCGTTACCTCAAGTTTAATTTGTCAGCACTTGCGTGTAGTTCGGTAAAATGAAATGTCCGTATTCCTTTATATCCGCGGGACTCGCGTTGCGTGTGGCGCTGGTATACGTCTCTCATTAGCAATCGCGCCCTGCTTCATACCACAGTCATGTTAAAAACATCACTGTATTCACTCATCCATAAAAGATCCATCAGCTTCACGACAAGATCCATAATTCCGCTTGATGCTTTGCATCATCGATATACGCCTTTGTTATTGTAAGAGATTAGCGACCCCTGGTGGCCAAAAATTGCATACTGTACGTTTAAAGATTGATGCTTAACTTTTTAAATAATAATAACCAACTCTAATAAATTTTTTTCTTTAGTTTCTCATTAGTTTTGTTCAAACCTGCTGACCTTATAACTTAAAAAATGAAATATCAAATATCTGTGCAAGGAACTGTGTAGCGAGCATTTTAATGGGATACATGTCCCATGATTTAAACTTTATATAGGCTATTTGAAATATATCATTGTTTCGCTTATCCTATTTATATTAGTTTGGACATGCTCATGTTGATGTTTTGATATATTTTTTAAATATATTCTATAAAAAGTTATTATATTAGTAATTTTAGGCTGTTTAAGTTGGAAAAAAGCTGAGAATTAGCCAGTTGTCCCGGCACCCTCTTTGGGAACCACTGGCGTAGGCTATATGATCTTGATGTTCTTGCATGAGCCCTGTATATTAGTATGTTTATTGCTATAACAATAAAAATGATTTCAGTCATGCTTAAAATTCGATAAGACGTTGGAAGCACATGTGTCAGACATTTATCATCTTTAATCAGCATAAAGGCCTACTACCACACAATCAGGAAGTCGTGTTTTCCAAAAGCCTATAGTGATCTGAAGTAGTACTTCCCGCTATTTATGGAGAAAGTCAGTGTGTTCTTATGAATATGGGACCAGCCTGCCATGAGTTTGACAGGGCATATGACCTGCACATAAGGATACAACACTATTATAACGCACCTTAGATCGGACCACCAGACAAGCCGCTCCACGTAAACAAAGGAACAAAGACGTTTTCCCTCTGCAAAACCACGTCCGAGTATTGAAAAGCCCTTTGGCACTTTCATAGCTCTTTTATGTCTTCAAGTGCTCCCGATTTGACTTCTTTATTTTGTGCTCTGCATGATGACCGCCCACCTCTGTGTTTATTAGGGACGAACTTCCTAAGATCAACAATATTGCTTTGGCCTTGACCTCACCGCTGTGCTATTTCATATTCAATGCGAGTTCCTTTGTTTAAGTGCATATTTGAGTCGAGAGTGATTATCACGCGGGCTGGATTCCTGTACACGGATCGGGAGTACTTTGAGTCGGTGATAGTGGCGGTGACATCACTCTGATCAATTGTTAGTCGTCGAGGCTCAAATTTGTCATCCAGATATTTTGCTCTCGCATTGTTTTGTTGCCTGAATATTTTTGGCACTGCAAGTTTTGAGTCTCCTTTTATAAAAGGAGAACCTTCCTGTCTGTTAGGATTTCCCCTTGTTTTCTCCAATGAACAGTTTAAGTAAACTGATCAACAAGGGTGTGACAAATCTGTGGAGCATTTGCTCTCGGAAAAACAGGCTGAATGTATTTTAAGAGCTGATTGTTGGAAAAGAAGCAGGTTTGAGGTGGTTTAAGCTGGTTTTAGCTGGTTTTGATGGTTTGAGGTGGTTTAAGCTGGTTTTGATGGTCTGCTGGTCTGGTCAAGCTGGTGTTCAGTTTATTTAGCTTTACAACCTGCTAACTAGACCTGCTAACTAGACCTGCTAACTAGACCTGCTAACTAGACCTGCTAACTAGCTTAGGGTGGTTTAAGCTGCTTTTTCAACAGGGGATGAATGTGAGAATTTCAGTAAGCCCTATCCATCATAACTGTAATTAATTAGAGAGTGTGCTAGTTTATCTTGCAGTTTTAGTTTTAATGAGCTTTTAAATGTGTCCGCTGCATGTGTACCCATCCATCCATCCAACCAATCTATCTATCATTCAATCCATCCATCTATCTATCTTTCCATACATGTATCCATCCATCCATCTGTCTATCCATCTATCTATCATTCCATCCATCGGTCTATCTATCTATCTATCTATCTATCTATCTATCTATCTATCTATCTATCTATCTATCTATCTATCTATCTATCCATCTATCCATCTATCCATCTATCCATCTATCTATCTATCTATCTATCTATCTATCTATCTATCTATCTATCTATCTATCTATCTATCTATCTATCTATCTATCGTTCTATCTATCGTTCTATTAATCCATCTGTCTATCTTTATCTATCTATCTATCTATCTATCTATCTATCTATCTATCTATCTATCTATCTATCTATCTATCTATCTATCTATCTATCTATCTATCTATCTATCTATCTATCTATCT